TGCGCACGCCGTCATCAACTGACGTACACGCGTGTGCCCAGACACGTACGTGTAAACATGCGTACGCATGGTCCCCCTCTACGTTCTGGTGCATGAGCGCGTGATTTCACACACACACACACACACATCAGTTCGTGTGGAATGCGCTGGTGACGTTCGCATGCAAAGCGCACACGCGCATTTGGTACAGACTTCATGGGTACAGAAATACGCACTTGGACTAGAAGGAAGCGTGCAAGCGCGGCAGCTGGTTACGAATCAAACAGTACGGAGCGTGCGGATTAGTCAGACGGGTTCAGTGGTATCAGCTTGGATTCGGTGCGCGTTTCCATTCTCGATTCTCATATTGAGACTCCTCCCAGGGGGACTTCTGCGGGGCTCGAGGCGGACCGCGCTTGAAGACAATGCTCTTCAATTTGAGTTGATGTTGTGCGAGCCGCGGCTCTGCGTGCATGCTGTCTGAACTTTTTCTGTCCAGTGTTCATTTGGCCACTTCCCTGTCCCCCCTTCCTCTCTCTCGCTCTCTCGTTCTCTCTGTCCCTCGTTCTCTCTCGCTTTCTCATTCTCTCCCTCTCTGTCTCCGTCTTTCTCTCCTCCTCTCATGTGTTGACGCTTCGCGCATCCCCACCATCCCATCCAGAAACCATGCCACACGCGAATTGTCTTGATCAGGGAAGCGCAGGAGCAAGCAGTGGAGCATAGAGTGGGACAGCCGTCGAACCGAAGCTTGGGATCAGCCTGAGCAGACGCAGGAGTCGACCGCAAATGCCTTCTCGGATCTTTCGATTTAGTCCCTAAGTCGAAAAGGGCCCTGAATTTTTGGGCCCTGAATTTTAGGCCCTAAATTAAGTTTCCAAGAGGGCCCTAAAGTTTACACGACCCTCTTGCAAGCGCATTGGGGACATCTTGGGGCCCTCTACCTTGGGAGACGACGATCAAAGAAGGGGGGGGCCTCAATTAGAGCCCCCCTTCGGAGCCCGAAGCGTCGCCTCTCGGCGCCCTCTTGGGACGCTCTTGGGGCGCTTCTGGGGCTCTCCTCCTCCTCCTCCTCCTCCTCCTCCTCCTCCTCCTCCTCCGCCTCCTCCTCCTCCTCCTCCTCCTCCTCCTCCTCCTCCTCCTCCTCCTCCTCCTCCTCTGGGCCGTCTTGGAGCCATCTTGTGGCCCCATCAGCCCATCGGAAGTGAAAAGGCGAAAGGCCAACGCCATTGAAACACGTTGGGCTTGTGAGGGATCTTGCCTCTCGTGGGCCTCCTTGAGAGGCTCCGATGCCACTTGGGGCCATTTTGGGGCCGCCTTGAGGCCCTTGGAGCCTTGGAGGCATGTCCAGCGGCTATCCTGGCCCATCTTGGGCCATCTTGCACCTTCTTCGAGGCAAACTGTATGTGTGTGTGTGTGTGTGTGTGTGTGGCCATCTTCAAGCCCTCGTGGCCGCACACACCTCCCAAGGCTGTCCTCGAGACGCAGACGTCAGCCGCCAGCCTTGGGTTTTCCAGCGATCTTGCTTCCTGAAGAAGGGGGAGTCTCCAACGAGCCCCGCCCGACCCGAGTCCGACACAGTGCCTCTTGAGGCCCCCTTGGGGCTCTCTTGGGGCGCTCTTGGGGGCCTCTGGGGCCGTCTTGGAGCCGATCGGGGCACCCCCATCTCTCGGGGCCCTCTCGGGCGAGCTTGGAGCCATCTTGGGCCAGAGCAGCTCAGCGGAAGGGAGACTGCCCTTTGGAGCCCATCTCTCTCCCTCTCCATCATTCTCCCCTCCTCTCTATTGTTGATTCTTCGCGTATCTTCATCAGCCCATCCGGAAACCATGCCACAAGCAGGTTGCCTTGGTCAGGGAAGTTGAGCAAGCAGTGGAACAAAGAGGGGAACAGCTGTCAAACCGAAGCTCGGGATCCGCCTGAACAGACCCAGGAGTCAACCTTGAATGCCTTCCCGGATATTTCGATGCGGGAGCCTCTTGGAAGCTTACGTGCGGCATCCTGGGGCACCACTTGCAGCTCCTCATCGTGTTGGCTCGCCGAATTTTGTGATGCGTGCCTTCGAATCTGGGTTCGCGTCGCATGGAGTGGGCGCGGGCCGGAGGGTTCCAAAAGGGTTTTTTTTGGGAGCGGGTTTTCCAGATAGCGCCCTGGGGGCCTCGGAACCTCGTCAAAGCAGGGGGTGCGAAGCCCCTGCGGGACCCTCCTGGAAAACCCCCTCCCCAAAACCCCCCCTTTGAAACCCTCCGGGCGGGCTGCCGCTGGCGTGGTCGGGAGCTGCGAAGCTGGGGCAGTCGGGCCGGACGAAAGGGGGGGATTGGGAAAGGGGGGGTTACAAAATTTGCTGCAAGCAGCTGGTTTCGGCCCCAGCGAGGGGCCCATTTCTCGATACATAGTCGCCTCCGGCGCCGGGAGGCGCCGGGAAAATCAGCTACGTGAGCTGATTCTCAAACCCCCCTTTGCTATCCCCCCCTTTCGCCCGACCCGAAGCATGCCCGCGCGGTCCTGTACCGTCAGCGCTGCACGTGCCAGGTCGAGCTTCGGGCGAGAGAGCTCGGGCGAGACCGCGAGCTGCTGCGCGGAGGAGCCCCCCACTGGGGCCACGGAGCGCGCGAGGAGTGTGCCGGCACGGGCGCGGTGCCGCCATGCGAGCCCTGCCGTTGGGTCCTTCGGAGGAGCTATGTGTGGCCACGTAGCGTGATATATGATGGGCCTGTTTTCCACCACCACTTCCATAAGTTGGAGGGGGGAGGGGGTCCTCCTCTCCCTCTTCTTCTTCTTCTTCCTCCTCCTCCTCCTCCTCCTCCTCCTCCGCCTCCTCCTCATCCTCCACCTCCTTCCCCTCTCCAACTTATGGTGGTGGTGGTGGTGGTGGTGGTGGAAAACATGCCCATCATGATAGCAGAATTTGGTGCGTCGCCGCCATGTTGATCCTGCTATTGGGGTGCTCGGCGGAGTCCCGCTTATGATGGCGCGAAGCGTGTCAGGGGGGTGTGCCGAAAGGGACGTGGCGTCGCCATGCGAACTTTGTCTCGGGGGCCTTTAGCGGAGCTCCCTATGGGGCCACGACGCGTGCGAAGGGTGTGCCGACATGGGCGTGTTGCCGCCCTGCGGACCCTGCCACTCGGGGCTTCGGTGGAGCGCCCTATGGGGCCACGAAGCGTGTAGGGGGTGGACCGATCTGGGTGCGGTGCCGCCATGCGGTCCCTGCCTCTGGGGCCTTCCGCGGAGCTCCCTGTGGGGCCACGACGCATGTGAGGGGTGCACCGAAATGTATGCGGTACCGCCATGCGGGCCCTGCCATCGGGGCCTTCGTGTGCTGGCATGGGTGCGGTGCCTCCGTGCGAGGCCTGCCACTGGGGCTTTCGACGGAGCCAATTCTGGCCAGGAAGCGTTTGAAGGGTGGGCCGAAATGGGTGATGCAAGGGCGCCCTCGAGGGAGCGAAGTTATTCGGGCTTCGCGCGCTCTGATTCCTCATCCTCCTCTTCTCCCCTGGGAGGCGGCGCGAAAGCGCCAAGTTATTCGCGCTTCGCGCTTCGCGCAGCGCGAAGCGCGAAGTTGGGAGCCCTTGTGATGTGCCGCTTATTTGGACCCTGCCAGTGGATGGCGGAGCTCCAGCTGGGGCCACGAAGCGTGTGAGAGGTGTGCCGAAATTGGCGCGGTGCTGCCATGCCGACCCCGCCACTTGGGCCTTCGGCGGGGCCCGCAGTGGGGCCGCGAAGCGTGTGAGGGTGTGTCGACACGGGTGCGGTGTCGCCATGCGGCCTCTGCTGTAGGGGCGTTTGGTGGAGCTCCCCATGGGGCCACTTGGGACTTCTTTGCAGCTCCCTGTGGGGCCATCAAAAGCGTGAGGTGTGTGCTGGAGTGGTCATGCGGCGGGCAAAGGCAGGCATTGAAAGAGGGAGGGGAGTAGCAGGAGGGAGAGCGATGTGGGGCGCTGTTTCTTCAAAACGAGGACTCAGTACTACAGGATGTCTCCGAACATCTTTTGATATTTATTGATTTGTGTCCTCTCGCCTCTTCGCTCCCGACGAGCTGTTGATGCTTCAAGATGGCCTCCACAGGGCTCCAGGCCCAGGAGTTGTTCAAATCTCGAAAAAGCCAACGGAGACACACATCCTTGACGCCACAGGCCCCAAGAACCCCTCCGAAAGGCTTTCAAGAGGCCCCCAAGAAGCTTCCAAGCGGCCCCCAAGAGGCTCCCAGGAGGCTCCGGTAGGGGTGGGGGAAGCCTTCCGTCGTGGAGTGGGAGAGGGGCAACGCATCCCCGAAGGGGAGGAATGGGTTGGAGGAGGAAACGCTCCAAGCCACCTGCGCCCAGAGGGCTAGTCTGACTAGTGCCTCCTGGCGCCTTGATTGGCCTTCAGCACTTGCGGCGGTGCGGATCAATTAGTGCCGCTTGGCGCCTTGATCGGCAATCAGCAGTTCGCGCCAGCGCGGCGACCTGAGGGGGCCAAGCTGTGGCGACAGGGCAGGCGGCCACGCTTTCGCGAGGGTTCGGTCCCTCCTCTCCGAGTCTCCTTGCCGGAGCTGCCGCTCCTCCGGGCAGGAGTTATTGGCAGGAGTTGCTCATCGATGCTGCCTCTCTGTACATCCCTCGCTCCTGCTCCACCTTTGCCTCCTCCCCCCCGCCCGCCCCTCCTCCTCCCCTTCCTCTTCCCCCTCCTCCTCCTCCTCCTCCTCCTCCTCCTCCTCCTCCTCCTCCTCCATCTCCTCCTCCTCCTCCTCCTCCTCCTCCTCCTCCATCTCCTCCATCTCCTCCTCGCCCTCATCCTTCTTTCTCCATCAGCCGTACATGCGTTTCGGGCTTGTTGGGCTGTGTGGGTCTTCTCCTACGCCATTGTCGAGGTCCTGAGCCTGACCTCCAGCGCCGCTTGAATATCTACATGATCGGAGAGATCCCTGGCCGTTCCACGGCCGCTTACTCCTCCCTGCTTGCCCCTCCTTTGCTTTCGCTGTAATTAGCTACGGACGCGTCCCAGCGTTAGCCCGACCGCTTGTTGGATCCAACTCGCCGCAGACCAAGACAAGTCTCGGGCCTGTTGTGACCAAAAGAGAGGAGGACACGGGGGCGTGCGATATGAACAGAAGCAACCGTGCATGACAACATTATGGCAAGTAAGATGGGCGAGTCGGTTGGCTGCAAACATAATGTCCGCCAGAGGACAGCGTATAAGTCGCTCTCTGTGATTTCGGAGTGGGAAGAAGCCAGACAACGACAAATGACCCTGGTCTGCAGGGGTGTGGAACGTGCAAGGAGTGAGCCACATACGTGACGGCAGTAGCGGGTGGTGGTGAAAGTGCAAAGTAGAAGGTAACTGAAACACAGGTTGGGGATGTGCTCTCAGCAGCAGACAGCAATCTATAACGAGGAGGAGTAAGAGGTTGGGTAACTGTGACGCTGCAGGCTGTAATAGAAGGCGTGCAGGGTGATGGTCCACAGGGTCATTCCCCCCATCTCCCATGCCAAAGTGGCCGTACTGAGATTTGTAAGTACAGGCTGCTGATGCTGAGGGCAATGAGTGGGCGAGCTGCGCTGTATCGTTCCCCTCCTCCCCCTCATCTTCCTCCTCCATTCATTTTCCTCAAAGATAACTCCTTCTTGTCGTACCCCGAGGCCGGTTGGTAGGGTGGGCAGGGCGTGTCGCCTGAGACTTCCACCATTCATGGTCTTGAAGCTTAAAATCTGCAAGAACTTCACGGATGGAGGGCGGGCCGTTGAAAACATAATATTCTCGCCTGAGTGCCGCGCGCGTGTGTCGTACAAAGTTGAAGCGTTTCGCCAATGGACGATGGACGGTTTTGAAAATGTGGCTCTCGCCACTGCGCCGCGCACATTTGCTTTACACAAGAGCAAGATTTTCGCGGATGGAGGGCGGGTGGTTTTCCAAGTGTGGGTCTCGCTTTAGCGTCGCGCGCATTCGTCTGAAGAGTTTACAGCAGTTACAAGGGTTGTCATGGTGAACGTCCCAGGACTGATGCTTTTGCATGGTGTGGGATTGTCAAGGCGCAACAGTTGCGTTGATTCGCGGCGTTGAGGTTCAAGGACTGGCGTTCTAGTACGAGTCAGGATTGTCAAGACGACGCAACAGTTAAAGTCAAATTGATTCGCTATGTTGAAGTCCCATGAATGGTGTTCTGTCACGGTTCAAGTTTTCCAGGCAATTGTTTTCCAACGGGGCACTCCCCACAGTGAACATTAGTTTTTGTAGGGGCCTATGGGGAGGGAGCTTGGAGGGAGGGGTTCTTGCACCATCGTTGATGGATGGGTCTTTGGTTTGCACAGGTCTTCCATTTCTTTTGCTTATAACTAATTCCTCCCTGTCGCACCCCGAGGCCAGTCGGAAGGACGGGCTGGGCGTTACGCCTGAGACTTCCTCACCACTACTGATCGTGCATTTTAAAAATTGGCATCTGTTTCGCGGATGAAGGGCGGGCGGTTTTCAAATGGTGGCTCTTGCTCCAGCTCCGCGCACATGTGTTTTTTTCAACAATCGCAAGGGTTTTTCAGGTGGAGGGCGGGCGGTTTTCAACATGTAGTTTTCGTTTTAGCGCAGCGCGCATTTTGAGAATTTGCAAGTGTTTCACGGATGGATGGCGGGCCGTTTTCAACATATAGTTCTCGCCTTAGCGCCGCTCATATCCGTTTTAACATTTGCAAGAGCTTCACGGGTTGAAGGCGGTTCCTTTTCAATATGTGTCTCTCGCCTTAGCTCCGCGAACATTCGTCCTAAGAAATTGCAGGGTTTTCACGGATTCCCATGGTTAACCTACCAGAAATGGTGGTGTGGAGCGATTCAGGATTGTCAGGGCGCAGCAGTTACGTTGATCCGCGAGGTTGAAATCCCAAGAACGGCGTTCTGTCACGCTTCGGGATCGTCAAGGCGCAACCGTCAAGTGGATTCGTGGCGTTGAAGTTTCGACAATGGTGTTCTTGCACGCTTTGAGATCTTCAGCGTTTCTCTCCCAACGGTGCACTTCCCGGGGTGGAAATGAACCCGTGTAGAGGCTTATGAAAAAGGGAGCTTGGGGGCAGGATTGAGTTCAACATCGCTGATGCATCTTGGGGTTACACTGGTCCTTCTTCTCCTCCTCCTCCTCCTCCTCCTCCTCCTCCTCCTCCTCCTCCTCCTCCCCTCCTTCTATCCCATGTTGCTCGCCGCTTTCGTTCGAATGTGAGTTGAGCACTCCGTTCTTCAGCTACGCTCGTCTCGTCCTCCTCCTCTGCCCCCCCTCCTCACCCTCCTCCTCTTCCTCCTCCTCCTCCTCCTCCTCGTCCTCTTCGTCCTCCTCGACCTCCTCCTCCTCCTCCTCCTCGTTCTTCTCCTCTCCTCCTGTCCCCTTCTCCCCCATCATGTTCCCTTTCCTTTTCCTCCCTCACTTCCCTCCTCGCCCTCCCACCCCCTTCTCTCCCCCCTCCTCTCGCTCCCTCCGGGCCCAGTCGAACTCGGCCTCCAAAGGAGGATAGGCCCGGCCGAACCCAACCATTCCGCTCGTCCTGCTCCCCCGTTCCTCTACACGTAAGCGTGACCCTCCGTCGGAGTGGCCTTTGGTGCGGGCCCACCGGGTTCCCCCGATCGCTGAAGGCGACGCGATAGCAGCGGCTTGCGAGCTTGGGTTTGCCCCCCCCCCCCCCCCCCCCCCCCGCGCGCCCTCCCACAATCTCGGGCGAAGAGAACTATGCACATGCACCGATCCTGGCAAGGCCCATCTTTGACCCAGGATCGGTGCATATGCCTTCCTGGCCAAGGTAGGAGGGCGTATGCACCGATCCTGGGCTCAGGATGGGCCTGGCCAGAATCGGTGTATGTGCATAGTTCTTTTTCCCCTCACAATCCGCGTACCAGATGTCACCCTCGCCTGTAGGGTCGCTCTTGCGTGTCGCCGCAGCGTGCTTGGCCTGCGCCCGGGCGCCCCTCAAAGGGGGGACGCCCGGGCTCGGGCAGGGCCTCGGGAGCCCGCGGTCGCGCCCCCGCGCCCCGCGCCCCGCCCCTGCGCCGCGCGGGCTCCTTCTCGGCACCTCGCCGCGGAGCAGAGCGGGCCCGACGCAAGCGAGCAAACCGCCTCCCCCTGCGGCGGCCACCGTTCCTCCTCCTCCTCCTCCTGCGTCCGTCTCCTCCTCCTCCTCCTCCTCCTCCTCCTCCTCCTCCTCCTCCTCCTCCTCCTCACCCCTCGTCCTCCTCCCCTCTGCCAGGCCCTGGCGCTTCTCGTTCTTCTGGGGCCCCTCGGGGGGCTCTGCGTCGCCACGGCCGGATCCTCTTCGAACAGCGGGCCGGGCAGGATGGGCCCCGGGAGGGGTCCGGGGACGGAGTCGGAGCGGATCTGGGCCGCGCGGGTTGCCACCCCTGCCACGCACCAGCGGCGTTGCGCACCCCTGGTCTCCCAGCTCAGCGGTGGCGGTATGCGGGGCACCCAGCTCTGTCCTCGAGGGGGAGGCCGCGTGTGGGCGGGTGCCCACTGGACGCTTACTGTGGGGCCCTGCTGGGCTTGCCTCTCCCCCCGCCCTCGCCGCCCACTGCCCCTGCGGCCCGCGTCCTGCCCCCCCTCTGCCTCCCGGGCGCCCCGCGCCCCTGCTCCCTCTCCCCCCGCCCCGCCGCCTACCGCCCCCCCCCCCCCCCCCGCGCACACGCTCTGTGGCGTCGCGGCCTTGCGCGCCCTGCGTCGCGGCCCCGCGCCTGCGGCCCCGTGCGCGTGGCGGCGCGGCCCCGCGCGCGCGGCGGCGCGCGCGCGCGGAGCCAGGGCAGATGGGCGGGAACGGAGCGCGCTGGGCCCTCACTGGCACAGGGGCGGCGCGGGGCTCACCCTCCCGGGCTGATCGGCGCAGGGCCCGCCGTCCCGCGCGCGCTTTTGTGGCCGGCGGCGAGCTGGAGCCAGCAGGCGCTCGGCTGTTGGCGGGGTGCGCAGGAAGCGAGTTGGGCACAGTGGGAGGGGGAAGCAGGGGGGGGACGAGGGGGAGGGCCGCGAGACAGCTGGAGCGCTTTCAGAACGTGAGGAATATCGGAACGCACCTCCCGCACACACACACACACATACACACATACAAACACGCATACGCACACACGCACACACGCACACACGCACACACGCACATGCACACGCACGAGCACACGCACACGCACACGCACACGAACGCACGCACGCACGCGCGCACACGCGCACACACGCTTTTCAGTTGGCGGCGCAGAGGAGTCTCGGGCGCGGGCGGCAGGTGGAGGTGCCAATCGTGAACGAACTCAGTGGAACGCGCCATCATGAAATAGTCCAGTCGCGGCCATGCAAATGGGTAGTGGGAAAACGGGAGGCGCTGTAAAGCCAAAGTGCAGCGGCCAAAGAAACCGCGGAACGGAAGCTCGACGCGGGAAGTTTAAAGCGCAAGCGGAAGTCTGGTGCTAATTGAAGACTCGTGCATCGAGAAAGGACTGTAAGGCTGCCAGGCCATCAACTGGGTGGCGGTGCGTGCGCGCAGGGAACTGCGCAACGAAGCAACGCCACCGACCTTGCAGCGGGTAAGGCCAACTTCAGGTGATTGTGCCGCACAGCAAGTGGTCTGCGTGACAAAGATGATCACTCGGCCAAGGCGGGCATAGCCTTGGACAAAGACAGAGCTGAACGCTGGCGACCGCGAGCAGCAACCACGTGACGGCGGCGCTCATGGGTGATGGGCAGGCGTGAGCGTGGCCGACGTGCAGTGCAGACGCCAGCGCTGAAACGCAACAGTTCCAAACGCAACCTGAGCCGCGAAGAGCTACCGTGAACGCGCGTGAAAGCAGAAACAACATGTTGGGGGCCACTTAGCACCACTCCGACCAACAGGTGGCAGGAAGAGAAAGACGAGCAATGCGAACCCGCCAACGGGATGCGTCAACGCTCAGAATGTGACAGACCCCCGCGGTGGTGACGACCCGGAAGAAGAGACGGGAAAGGGGGGGATCCCCACGACCCACAGGGGGGAGGGGGCTGACGAACCACCGCGGAGAACGCTGCCGCCAAAGCAGGCTGACATGCAGCTGAAGAGGGCAGGAAGCAATATTTCAACGGGTCGCGGCCATGCCGGCCCGCGCCCCCAAGGCGCAGGCAGCAAGGCGGTGGGACCGCCGCCGGTCAAGCTGACGGACAGAAAAAGGTGCCGACCTCGAGCGACGCCCGTGCAACTTGCCGCGTGCGCCCGAGGGGGCGCGAGAGAACCAGTGCCCTGGCCAACGCATGAGGTGTATGGCACCGCCTGGCCGAGCACCACGAGATGCACAGAGGAACCAATCCAGCCAGGCGACCAGGAAGCGCTCCCGCCTGAGGCGGCATGGAGGCATGCAAGTGGGCCAAAAGAAGGGCAGCATGGCGCGGCAAGAGGCTGAGAAGCGAGCACCCCCAGGGCGAAACCTGGGGGGCGCGCCAAAAAGAGGAGCGGGTCGCGGCCAAGCCGGCCAACAACCCGTGTCGGGGCGCAGGCGGCGAGGCTGCAAGGCCGACGCCAGGTCCAGAAGACCGGCGAAAAGAAGGCGCTACAACGCGCGAGTGGAGCGCACGACGCCAGTGCTGGGACAAAGCATGGGCGGTGCAGGCAAGGCGAGACACGGCCGAGAACCGAGAAGACAACCCCCGGGCACGGCCCAGCAGAGCGGCCAGACGTCTCCACCGCCTCGGGCGACGCGACGCAGACGCAGAAGGGCCCGTCAATAGTTCCGCGGGACAGGCCGCGGGGACTGCGGGGCGCGAAGACAAAGCCCATGACGCCAGCGGTCACTGCGCGGAGTGAGGGGGGCGGCAGAGAGCGACGACCGTCGATGTCGCAACGCCGCAGAATATTCCAGCAAGGACATGAAGTGGCGCGCCGGGGGAAGAGTGGAGGGGATAAGAAACCGGGCTGGAGCGAGGGGAACGCCCCTGGCAGCGGCGCCGCGCCCAACATGGGCGCGGGTAGCCCACGAATCCTTCATTGTGCATAGCATGGGGGAGGGCAAGGCGTGGCCTCAGAAGAGCTCGCGCCTGCGTTCACAGCGCGATGTCGCTCTCGAGCGTCCTGTCGGCCTCGCTCCCCCTCCTCTGGGAGATATTGACCGGCCGAAATAGTGGTGGGGGACATGGGCGAAAGAGAAGTGAGCCACGGCAGACGTGACATTCGCCCTCCTTCATGTTGCGCGTGCAACGCGCCGGCGCGCGTGGCCCAGGAGCCTATGCTTTACTTGGCGTCCTCCCGATGGCCTGGCAGCCTCTGCCGTCGCGGCCAGGCCGCGGCCCGCGCCTCGCCAAAGTCCAGCGATCAGCTTCGTAGAGGAGCTGGTTCCACCGCATTTGCGCTGCCTCCTCTGCGATGACACGCTGCGAGACGCCGCGAGGGGGATTGGTGTAAGTGGGGGGGCACGCCCAACGAAGACCCCTGCATGCAAAGCACTTGCTTATACCGCCAAGGAAAGTTCCACAAGCTGGCATCCTCTGCCATGGCAGCCACTGTTCGGATGGGCTGGGATCCACAGCATAACAGATGCGCATCTCCCGGGAAAAATGGATGGTGTTTGGTTGGCAGTCTCTTAGGATTACGCCCGCACGGCCTTTGAAGGTCTCAGAGCCGCGGATCACTCGCGGTCGCATGAGCCATCGATAATGATCGACTGCCTCCGAGGCTTTGAGGACAGGAAGAGCCATCGTAAGGGGTGCAAGCTCTGCGTGCCACAGGTTGTGAAGGTGAGCGTAGAGAGTGTCAGGCGGCCGGTCCAACGGAACGCAGATGTGGTGTAGCTCGTGATCGTGCAGAGAGCGCGCCGCGAGTGCCACAGACCAAAGGGTCCCTCCATCTTTTCCTTCCAGAGGCCAGGTGACAGCACCACAGCGAGTATTGAGGCGGGGCATGCTTGGTCAAACTATCCCCTGACATTGCCGATGTGGGGTCTGGATGCAAAACCCACGCGTGCAGAAGAAAATTTGAGACCGCGAATGCCCGTGGAAGGCGCCGAAGAGGCCATGCACGTGCACAAGCGCGCGGGGCACAACTGGCACTGAAATGCGAGAGGAGTCCAGCCTTTTGCCGCAGCCCGGCTGTAAGGGTGCGACGCGATCGCAATCTGTGCAATATTGCACGCAGGAGGTCAGTGGAGCGCGAGAAAAGTTTGGCCAGCAGCGGAGTTAGAGGGCGACGCGATAGCAGCTTGGGCGAATGGGTGCATTAAAGCAGGACCATGCCCACCGAACAAGGCGATGTAGAAGAGGCAACCTAGCGCGAAACTTGCCCGCGGCCCAGCCGTAAGGGTGCGACGCGGGAAGACAGCCATGCAGGTGGATGGCTGAAGGAGCTGCCGACGCCAGGAGGACACGCGTGGTCGGCCGGACAATGTGCCCCGTCCAGGCGTGTCCAACCCCCCCAAGCACGCATGCACACATAATCACGCGAACGCCTCGCCCTTGGTGTCGTGCCTTCTCGCCTCCTGCCCAGCGTCTCCTGCCCCGGCCCCGCTCGAATACCTCATCCTCGTGTTTCCGTGCCCGCTGCATCCGTGCCTCTCTGCTCCCCTGCCCGCCCGCCCGCCCCAAGGCCCCTGCCCGCTTGCGTCTCCTGCCCGCCGCGGGCCTCCCGCTTCCACCCTTCTCCCCCAGTCCGCCGCCCCCCCTCAGCCGCCCTTTGGCGCAGAGCCACGGGCTCGAGGAGGAGAAGGAGGAGGAGGAGGAGGAGGAGGAGGAGGAGGAGGAGGAGGAGGAGGAGGAGGAGGAGGAGGAGGAGGAGGAGGAGGTGCACGAGCTGGTCGGGGCCACCCGGGGGAGAAGAGAGGTGCCCGCCGCGGGCCGAAGGCTGGAGGAGTATCGGGCCTCGGCCCGTGTCGCGCTCGCTGCTCGCCTCTCCGAGCCGCCGGGGCTCGCCGAGCAGCCCCAGGGCCCCACGCCGACGCCGACGTCGATGCCGACGACGCCGCCGACGCCGACGACGACGCCGACAGAGCCCTGCTCCGCCGGCTCCTCGCCTGGCGGGCGCGCTGCGAGCGCGCAGAGGAGGTGCGCGGTGCCTCTGACCAGGGGAGGAGGAGGGGGCGGAGCCTCGCGCGCGGGGGGGGTGGGCGGGGGCGGCGGGCGAGGGAGTGGGCAGCTCCAGCTCCCAGGCCGCCTCCGCCGCCTGGGCCCTGCCCGCGCCCTGAGATCCGACGCTGCGAACAAGGTTGCTGCCTTGCGCAAAAGCACGGCCGGAGCCCTAGACCCAGACCCCCTCGGGTCATGCCAAAAGCACGACGGGTGGAGCACGACGGGCGGAGCTTGGCCAACAGCACGACGGGTGGAGCTTCGGCCCAAGCCCGCGGGGGCAGACCCTGGCCAGCCCCACGAGCAGCCAGCGCTTCCGTCATGGGCAACGTTTTTTTTGGGGGGGGGGTTGCGGCGGGTGCTAAGTATATCGTTCTGCGAAAACTGCCCGCCTGGGTGCTAAGAGCAACGCAGGGGGGGTTCTTAATTGCTGGATGAGGTTAGGGGGGATAGGTTCAGAGGGGCAGGCATCAACCTCCGATCGCCCAGTCATCGCCGATGGGGGCCCGAGAGCCCGCCCCGCCCAGGAACATGCGGATTTGCCATCGGGGGCCTCTCGCCGATCTATCGGCGAGGTATCGCCGGTGCGGAGTAGCCAGTTCCCCCCTGAGCCAGTTTCCCCCCTGTCGCTGACGCTCAAGACCCCGGCGAGCCCGACGAGCAGCCCGGGGGCAGCGCTTCCGACAGCCCATGTTCGGCAGCGCCATTCGGGGAAGCAGAAGGCCCGAGTTCGCTGGAACTCGGCTTTGCCGACGCTTTGTGACGAGCCCGCCCCGGATTTTGACGGCCCAGTTGCCGTGAGATGTCTGCAGCGGGAGCTCGCGTCACATTTCAAGCATTGGTCAGTCACGCGCAGACATTTCAAGCATTGGTCAGTCACGTGCAGAGGGGGGAGGAGGAGGGGGGATGGCTTCTCAGAAGCACCCCTGCTTCTCAGAAGGCGCGGGCCTCATTTATAGACGCGAGGCCAGGGCCTTCCAAGAAGCAGCCTCCTTCTAAGAAGCCTCCCCTCCCCCCCCCCACACCCCCCTGTGCGCGCCGCCTGGGCCTCGTCATCTTCCCGACGGCCCCGTCGGGCCAGCCCGAGCGCCCCGAACCCGAGCCTCACGTCTCCCCGAGCCATGCGGGTGCCGCACCTGGGCGGGCCCGCCGCGAGGGGCTTCGCCCACGGCGGCTTCGCGGGCGGCGGCGCCCCCGTCGGCTACGCCGCCGTGCCCGACGCCTGCGGCACGGCGGGGTGCCTCTGGTGGGCTTGTCTTCCGCCGCCGCCACCATCAGTAGCAGGGGGAGGGGGTCCTCCTCCTCCTCCTCCTTCTCCTCCTCCTCCTCCTCCTCCTCCTCCTCTTCTTCCTCCTCCTCCCCCCCTCCAACTTCTGGTGGTGGTTGTGGTGGTGGACAACAGGCCCATCCGCCTCGCCGCGTGCGCGTCCTGCGGCTGCGCGGGATGCACCTGCGGCTCGTGCGGGACAGCGGGGCGCCCGGGGGAGAGTTCCGAGAGTCAGAGGAGCTCGAAGCTGGCTTGAGCCACGATGTCCCCCCTCCACTTCTTCTTTCCCTCCTTCGAGGGAAGCTGGGCCGAGGCGCCTGCAGCGGAGTGACGCCTGCACTCGTGCACAGTCCTTTGCCTGTCTCGCAGGCCTAGAGGTTGACACCAACACCAAGATCGGCGGTGTGCCTCCACCGAGGGAAGACGATCCCGATCTCGGTGATGGTGGTAACATTCTGGCTTCAAGGTGACCGAAATATTACCACCAGCACCGAAATCTGGGATCATCTCTCCCATGTGGAGGCACCTCCCTGCGTGCTGGTGTCGGTGCCAATTTCCAGTGCACGATTGCTTCCACAGGCGGGCAGGCTCCAAGCCGCCACAGACGAAGGAGAATAATAAGCACCAACGCAGCTACCCTTTCCTTGTTTTTGCCTCTTTGGGCCTCCTCGGAGGCCCTCGTCGCCACAGCTGGGATTGCCTCGAAGTCCTGGTCAGAACGCGCCCTGGGAGAGGCCCTGCTCTGAGGGCAGCCTGGGGAGTCCAAGCCTTTCAGATGGGATCCGAGCACATGGGGTCGGAGTATCGCACCGCATCGCCGATGCATCGCCGATGCGGCTCGATGTGTAGCCCGATGTTCTCCACGCCAGCGTTGCAGATGGATCTTGGAGCCGTCGGGGGGTCTGGGGTGGCCCAGCGCTGTTTCTGGCCAACAGGAAGGGGGGAAGAGGTTCGAGGGTCTGGGTTTGAGAGGGTTTCCAGCCTTGTGCGGCCTCCGAGTCTGGGCCCCGGGACTGTCAAGAGAAGGATCCTCCGACCCCATTCAATCGGACCCCTTCTGGGAGGCTCCTGCGGGGGCGGCCCCGAGAGAGAGAGAGAGAGAGAGAGAGAGAGAGAAAGAGAGAGAGAGAGAGGTGCAGCCCTGCTCCGGCAGAGGAGGTGCGGCGAGGGGGCCCGCATACGGTGTGGTGGCCATGCACGCCGTGTGGTGCGTCGGCGGGGACTCGGGGTGTCCGGAGAGAGAGGTGCGGCCCTGCTCCAGCAGAGGAGGTGCGGCGAGGGGGCCCGCATACGGTGTGGTGGCCATGCACGCCGTGTGGTGCGTCGGCGGGGACTCGGGGTGGCCGCGCGACCTTGGGACTCGGGTCGCTCTCCGAGGATATCTCGGGCGACTGGGGCTTCCAGGGTCCCAAAACGGTGCAGTGACGGACCGTTCGGTGAACTCTCTTGGGCTTTCGAGGTCTCCGCACAGTCTGTCTGTCTCCGCGCCGCTGTGGGACCCTGAGTGGGAGGGGGGAGGAGAAGGTTCGAGGGAAGGGCCAGGATGACGGCGCTGGGCGCCTCCTTGGGCTCCCCAGGTACACCTACGCCGTCGTGGGCCAGGGCCGGGGCGAGTTCGAGCCCACCACGGTCTACAAGTTCGTGGGCGCGGGCGCGGGCAGCGTGTCTCTGATCCCCATACCCGCCCCTGGCTGCAGCTGCTGGTGGTCGCTGTGCTTCCTCTGGCTTCTCCTCCTCCCTCTTCTCCTGCTGCCAGCGACGACCACGACGACGTCGACGACCACCTGCACCACGCCGCCTCCAGTCACCACCTCGCGGCCGCCTGACCTGTCCCCGAGCCCGACGCCGGCGCCAACCCCCGCTCCGCCCACCATGCCCCCGCAGGGCCCGCAGAGGGAGCCGCCGCGCTCCGGGAACCGGCGGGCCTTGGGCGGAGGGAGGCGGCAGGGGGGAGGAGCGGCGGAGGGAGCGCCGTCCTCCCGGCGGGGCCGGGTGGGGTCGGAGAGAGAGAGAGAGAGAGGCCGAGGCAGACCCCGTCGCTGCCTTCCGCAGCCCGCAGCCCACGCCCAGTCTCGCCCAGTGTTCTCCGGCCCTCCCCCCCGGCCAGCAGCCTCGCGCGGCCCCGTGGCGCGGGTTCAGCTCGAGATGCTCGGCCGTGGGCCCTCGCGCCCCGCCCCCTTCGCTCCCGGACCAGTTCCTCCCCTCTCGGGGCGCCGCTGGCGCCCCCGCGCCCCGAGGAGTGCTGGATCTTCGGCGACCCGCACGTCACCACCTTCGACGGCGGCCACGCCAGCTTCTACTCCGCGGGCGAGTACTGGATAGTGAGGACCGGCTCCACGTAGGAGTGACTTTTGGCCGGGGTGGCCTTTGGTGCGAGCACACCGGTGTCCCCAGATGCCTGGGCTCGATGCGATAGCAGCGTCTTGCGCGCTCTGGCTTGGCCTCCCCGCGGCCCCCAGGCCACTCCTGCCTGGGGTCACTCTTGCGTGTAGCCGAGAGGAGTGATACGGTGTGGATGCAGGGCCGCTACGCGCCCACGGCGGTCACCAACGGGCTCTCCGTCATGAAGGAGATCGCGATCGGGGGCCCCTTCCTGCAGAGCGAGGACGGCACAGAGAATGTGCTGCGCATATCTGCTCTCGCGGCCAGCTGGAACGGGGCGGTGATCCTCGCTGGCTTCCCCGACACGTTCACGAACCAGGATCCGCCAGTCCAGGCCTTGGGGGACCGAGAACATCCTTTGGCCCCACAGGGCGAGGAGAGCACAGCCTTCTCTTGATGTGGCGACCCTTGAATCGGTAAGGGCAGGTTTCCCTTTACTCTCAAGAGGGAGGGAAGAGGAGGACCTTTCTGGAAAGGGGCTGCCTCCAGCTGCCCAGAGGCGGTCACCGACAGCTCTGGGCAGATCCTGCAGTCGAATCGCGCCGGCAAGCCGATGCACGTCGTGCACGTCAGGCTGCCGCTGTTCATCACCGTCCAGCTCAATCGGTGGAACGAGCCCGGCGAGGGTGACTATCGAGCGGCCTCTGGCTGCTGCCGCCGGTCCCGCGGCTCGGGACCTGCACGGCATGCACCACGGGGCAGCAGGGGACGCCACAGAGGGGGCTCGCGGAGACCGTGTCTGCCCCCCCCCCAAGTCCCTCTCGCTGGCTCCTTTCCCCTCCGCAGCTGCACGACAGGCAGGAGGCAGGAGCACGGTCGGGGACTTTGGCCGTCTGCGTCCGCGTGCCGAGCTTTTCCCCGCCTCCCGCCCCACGGGGCGGGGCGACACGCCACCCGCTTTGCGAGGCACGGCGTGTCGCCGGGGCCGCCGCCGCGTCGCGCTGTTCAGAGCCGGCGATCGGGGCGAAAGGCCCAGGAGAGAGCAATACTCAGGAGGGGAAAAACACACAGACAGAATTAATCGTCAACTCCAAGGAAAGCATGAGAAAAAATATGGGAAGTGGGGGGGAGGACAAAAACCCAGAAAATATAGGAAAGTATGGGGAATCTTCTTGTTTGTGTCTGTTTATTGGTGTGTCCCAGGGCCCCTTCAAATACATGTATCCAGGTGCGCCGATGATCTATGTCTCCGAAAAGGCTCCCGGGCGAATTCGCGCAATGCCCGCCCCTGGGCTGGTCGCCCCCTGTCGTCGCCGCCGAGGTGTGCGCGAGCTCCCGACAGTACTGCTGCCGTGTTTCTCTGCTGGTGCCGTCTTGCGCGGGGGCCAGGGCGGCTCCGTGCATACCCTCCGGGCCCCCGAGGGGCCCCGGGAGGCAGGCAGCTCCATGTCCTTTCCCGCAGTGGCGTTAAGTGGGGCCTGTCCCTTTACAGGGGGAGTATCCCAAAATAGAGAAACATCAGTCTGGAGACTATTTTTTGTTTTTTTTTTGTTGCCATTTCGAAGTATTTGAGTATTGCGAAGGCTTACGGCCGCTGCCGCCGACCCTGAGAGCGACGAAGATCAAAACGATGGGGGGGCAGGGTGGAGGAGGTGGATGAGAGGAGGAGGGGGGAGAAGGATGTGGAGGAGAAGTAAGAGGAGGAGAAGGAGGCAGTGGAGAGCAGGAGGAGGGGGAGCAGAGGGGGAGGGGGGGAGGGGGGGGGGGGGAGGAGGGGGGAGGAGGAGGAGGAGGAGGAGAGGAGGAGGAGGAGGAGGAGGAGGAGGAGGAGGAGGAGGAGGAGGAGGAGGAGGAGGAGGAGGAGGAGGAGGAGGAGGAGAAAGAGGAGGAGGCCAGAGGCTTTCTTGGGACAGCCTGTGGCTCTCCTGAGGCCGTCTTGGGCCGTGCAGGGCTCCTCGTGCGCCGTCTCGAGGCACTCTTGGAGGCCTCCTGGGCAATTTGGGGCTCTCCTGGGCTGTCTTGGGGCAGTTTGGAGGCCCCTTGGGAGCCTCTTGGGGCCTCTTGGGGCTTCTTCGGGGCCTCTTGGGGGCCTCTTGGGGCTGAGAGCTCGAGATGTCCATTCGGGTCCCCCGTCTGGGCACTCTCCTGGAGCCGTCTTGGGGGCGTCTTGGGCCGTCTTGGAGGCGTCTTGGGCCGTCTAGGGATCCTCTTCGGCCGTCAGGGGACTCTCTTGGGGGCCTCTTGGGCCGTCTCGGGGCGATCTTGGGGGCCTCTTGGGCCGTCTTGGCGCGTCGGGAAGCGGAAGAGGCAAGAACGCCAAAGTCTTTCAAACGCGTATGGGACATCCATGAATTTTGCCTCTTGAGGCTCTCGTGAGAAAGCTCCTGGAGGCCTCTTAGGGGCGCTTTGCAGGCCTCTTGGGCGGCCGTCTGGAGGCCGTCAAGGCGTCTTGGACAGATCGTTCGGCGACTCGGGGTTCTCTTGGACTGTCCTTGGGGCCTCTTAGGGCACTCTTGGCCAGTCTTGGAGCTTTTTGGGGCTCCGGGACTCCCAGGGGGGGCGTCGTATCTGACCCCCCCCCCCGGGGCGTCTGACCCCCCCCCCAGGACCTCCCCCACTCCCCCTCCCCCAGGCGGGGGAGGGATCGAAGGGAAGGGGCTTCCTTTCGACTCAATTACGACGTTGCTTATTTTCGCTTTTGCTGGCGCACTGAGGAGGTCCCTGGGAAAGGGGGGAGCTCCGACGACCAACGAATGACGGAGATGACGACTTGAACGGACAAGCCCCTCACACACGCCGACAGGGTCGGCGGCTTTTTTTTCCTCCAAAATCCCCCTGTAGGAGGACAGGCCCGACTTAACATTGGCGCCCCGAACCCATTCCCACCACGCCTCGCCGCGACACGCTGTCCACTTCCGGTCCCACGGCGTCGACGTCCCGAGCTTTTCCCGGCCTCCCGCCCCGCGGAGCGGAGCGACGCGCCATCCGAAACCTCCTGACCGTGTGTGTATCGATGCCCACGCAGATTCCCGGGCGCGGCTGCAACCCCCAGACCCGTCGCTAGACCCGTAGCCGTGTCTATACCAGAACTTGCGCCCACCTTTTCACACCCGCACGCTCAAAAGAGACCTTGCCCATACATCTTCTTGCCCCCGCCCGCATCATGCACACAGACGACCCAGGCACGTTGGCAATCTAGAATCTAAGCGCGCGCGAAGCTCGCGTGGTTCTAGCGTAACATCTGTTCATCTGCATCGGTAGATGCGCGCACACGCGTGTACCTCGCTTTCGAGTAGCGTATTGGCGTGTGGGTGTATTGTGCTACGTTTCAACTCGTATCAGCAGTTGCCCCTCGCAACACATACAATTATTACCATTTGGCGCACGCATGCACTTCGCATATTCGCATGTACGTGCTCATGACCGTAGCCGCACGCGCTTGAATGATATATGTAACACACGCGCTCGCCCGATATACATTATGATTACTAGTGTGAGTTGCAGCACGCGCGTCCACATGCAACGCATCAGGTACGTACATGGTGCGCGTTCATATTACATACATGTATAGCACCTGGGCGCGTTGGAAGGCTTGATGAGTCCCAGATGAACATGGGAACCCACAGCAACACACCGTATCACAGTTCTTTGAATGAGGGGGGGTTCGCCCCGTGGACCCGTCGCTGACGACTCATTCCCTACACAGCTCGTCTGCGAGGGTCCTGTGTATTTCTTTTAAATTCGTGTTTCAGCCTCTCCAGATCCGAAATCGGTGGCCTGTGGTCTCCCGCATGGCCTTCCGTTGGTTTGCCGTACGGTCTTCCGTGTGGTCACCCGTATGGTCTCCCGTATGGCCTCCAGCACGGTCTCCCGTAGGGTGTGCCGTATCGTATCCCGTGGGGTTTCCCACATGGCCTTCCGTACGGTCTCCTGTATGGTTTTCCGTATGGTCTCTTGCGTGTCTCAAATGTTGTTTGCCGTATGGCCTCGCGTCTAGTATTACGCATGGTCTCCCGTATGGTCTTCCGCATGGGTTTCCGTCTGATTTCCCGTATGGTCTCCGCTATGGTCTCCCGTGTGGGCTTCAGTCTGTTCTCCCGTATGGTCTTACGTATGGTCGGTTTTCTGTATGATCTCCCGTATGGTATTTTGCTTGGGTTCCCGATAGTACTGCGCAGTCTAGTGTTTCCTTTACTCTTTAAGTATGTTGTTTAGGATCTTCTGCCGCCAGGGTGTCATTTCTTCGGGTAGTGGGGGCAGTCCAAGATGAGAACCCTTCGGCCTGCGTGCGTACACATGCACTCGCACGCAAGTGCACGCGTGCATACATAAATGCAAACACGCACGCACGTCGCATTCGGCAAACATGGAGTCTTCACGTTGTGGAAGCCTGGCTCGGCTTATCCTGGTTTGTTTTCTCGTGTGGGAACAATCGTAAGGGTGCGCATTGGCAGCCTCGTGGTGCCAGGGGCACCGGTGGATCTCAACGCGAGAATCGTCATGTCCGTGCAGCCCAACCAAGACGGCCATTGCGGTAATTTTAATGGCAATCCGACCGATGACACCCGGCCCCTCATCCGCAGTCGCATCGGGACTACTGGTGTTGCTCCTGGTGAGCTTCTGTTTCGCACGAAGACGCCTGTGAGAGAGCCCAACCGCCCCGATCTGAACGATTGCCCCACCGCGAAGGCGGAGCATGCGCGGGATGCTTGCGCCGCTCGCTCGAAGAACAGGGTGGCCAGCAAGGAATGCATGATTGATGTGTGCTTCGGCGGCGACAAGTTCGCCGAGCACGATGCCGAGTACAATTGAGTGGTTCATCCGGCTGGCGCCACACCCGTCGACCCCTTGATGTTTGTGAGGCTGCGGTTGGCCCTTGCAGGCGCTGATAGGGAACTGGGGGGAACCAGGAGAGGGGAACAGGATAGACAGGAAGAGAACCCGGATGATGATGACGATGATGATGATGATGGTGATGATGATGATGATGAGGCTAATGAGGTTGATGATGACGATGATGATGATGATGATGATGATGATGATGATTGTGACGCTGATGATGATGGTGATGAAGGTGGTGATGGTGATGATGATGGTGATGGTGATGGTGATCATGATACTGATGCTGCTGCTGCTGATGATGAGGATGATGATGATGACGATCATATGGATGATGAAGCTGGTTCTGATGACTACGATGATGCCTACGATAATGGTGATGCTGATGATGCTGAGGATGATGCTTGATGATGCAGATTGATTGATTGACTGGTCGTTTGTTTGATTGATTGATTGGTTGACGATTCTGATGATGAGGAAGTGCATGGTGCTGTTGATGATGATGATGATGATAATGATGATGACGGTGCTGCTGCTCATGATGCTGCTGCTGATAATGATGATGATCTGGTGACGATGCTGCTGTTGATGATGATGATGACGATGACGATGATGGTGATGACGATGACGATGATGATGATGGTGATGATGCTGATGGTGGTGATGGTGGTGTTGGTGATGTTGATGGTGATGGTGATGGTGGTGCTGATGATGCTGTTGCTGATGATGATGATGGTGGTGGTTGTGATGGTGGTGAGCATGCGGAGGATAATGATGACGATGCTGATGATGCCGATGATGATGCTGATGCTGATGCTGATGACGATGCTGATGATAAAGATGGTGATGGTGGTGATGCTGGTGATGATGATGGTGATGTTGCTGCTGCTGGCGATGATGCTGATGCTGAGAACTTTGCTGATGATGATGGTGCCGATGACGATGATGATGATGATGATGATGATGATGATGATGCTGCTGATGATGCTGATGATGGTGGCGGTGATGATGTTGATGATGATGCTGATGATGCTGCTGCTGATGATGATGCTGATGCTGATGCTGATGATGATGATGATGATGATGATGATGATGATGATGATGATGATGATGATGATGATGATGATGATGATGACTGCCGACAGACAGTCAACGCGTACGTAGGCTCCGACGGGGAGCCGACCACGCTGGCGTGCAGCAGCTTGGACCTCACAGTGCGTTGCGGCGACACCCTGTCGCGTGAGACAGGAGCGACCTGTCCCAGGCACTACGGGCCTGAGGAGGAACGAGCACGACATGTCGGGGACAGTTATCCTGATGCGGATGACCCCGAACATGTCATCACCCAGTCAAGGAGGGACCCCAATCGTGAACACCACGAAGCTCGCGCCCACGAGCTTGAACAACACAGAACTCCCACCCACGAGCGTGAACACCACGGAGTTGCCGCCTACGAACATGGACGCCACGAAGTTGCGGCCCAAGAGCGCGGGCACAAACGCGAGCACTACGAAGCTGCAGCCCACGGGCGTGAGGGCCGCGAAGCTGCCGCCCACGAGCGTAAGCACAAGGACGCTTCCGCCCTCGAGCGTGAACACCACGAGCGTGACCTGTTCAAAGCTGCCGCCCACGAGCGTGAACTGTTCGAAGCTGCAGCCCACGAGCGCGAACAGCACGACGTTCTCGCCCACGAGCGCGGGCCCCGCGAAACAGCAGCCCACGAGCGTGAGCACCCCGAAACCGTCGCCCACGAGCGCGAGCGCCCCGACGCTGCCGCCCATGAGCGGGGACGCAATCAAACTGCCGCCCGCGGGCGTGAAGACCACCAGGCTGATACCCACGAGCGTGGCGTGAACACCACGAAGCCGTCGCTCACGAGCGCTTGCGCCACAGAGCTGCCCCCTACGAGCGTGATCATCACGAAGCGGCCGCCGACGAGCCTGAAGACCACGATGCTGCGCCCACGAGCGTGAATGCCACGAGAGTGCCGCCCACGAGAATGAACGCCATGAAGCAGCTACCCACGAGCGTGAACACGAAACGGCCGCCACGAGCGCGGGGCACCACGAAGCTTCCGCCCACGAGAGTGATCATCAGAAGCTGCCGCCCTCGAGCTTGAATGCCTCGAAGCTGCCACCCACGAGAGTGAACGCCACGAAGCTGCTGCCTGCGAGTGTGGCAGCCTCGAAGCTGCTGCCCACGAGCGTGAACACCGCGAAGCTGCCGCCCATCGGAGTGATGACCACGAAGCTTCCGCCATCGGGCTTGCAGACCACGAATCTGATCACGAGCGTGGGCGCCACAGGATTCGCGCAGGCTTAGGCGAACATGATCTCAACGAAATTGCCGTCCACGAACATGAACACAACGAGGAAGAAGCACCAGCATGAAGTCCACGAAGCTATCACCCGCAATCGTAAAGACCGTGGTGGCGCCGCCGGCGAGCGAGAAGACGATGGGCCTGTCTCCCACGCGCGCGATGACTACGACGTCTGTGCTTCTGGCGGGGGGGACCAATAAGCAATAATGGGCGCTGACACCGTAAAGCCGTCAAGAACCCACATAGTATTGTGAAGATCTGCAAGTTTCCACGGTGCCCAGCCACGCCCTTGACAGAGCGAGTGGGAACCTGACGTTGAACACCACTTTATAGCAAAAGAAGAATACCACGAGGTAGGTGTGCGAAGCTGCGACGGCGCAGAGGTGCTTTCACCACCCAAGAGCAGCACCCACGTTGAGAGCTCGGCAAGAGGAATATCATGTAGCGGCACCGGATGGATCGGCCGAGCCCGTCGACTGTCTTGCGCCCGAGCCGCCAGCGCACGAGGGACACCTGGAACCTGCGGGGAATAGGTGGACGGGAACCCTTGCACCGCCATTGCGAAAGAGCCAGATCAGGTGCAGGATGATGATGATGCTGATGATGATGATGGTGGTGGTGATGATGATGGTGATGATGCTGATGATGATGGTGGTGGTGGTGGTGGTGCTGCTGCTGCTGCTGATGATGATGATGATGATGATGATGAAGATGATGATGATGATGATGATGATGATGATGATGATGATGATGATGATGATGATGATGATGATGATGATGATGATGATGATGATGATGATGAGCTGGCACATGACTGTGGAAAGACAATTAACACCTACGTGGGCACAGACGGGGAGCCGACCACGCTGGCGTGCAGGGCCCGCCCGGCCCGACCCGACCCGACCTGCCCGACCCGACTCGCCCGTTAGGGCCCTCCCGACCCGACCCGACCCGCCCGACCCGACTCGCCCGTCATGGCCCGCCCGACCCGACCCGACCCGCCTGTTAGGACCCTCCCGACCTGACCCGACCCGACCCGACGCGCTCGCCCGACCCCCGACCCGACCTGCCCGACCCGATCCGCCCGTCAGGGCCCGCCCGCGGTGACCTGGCCCACCTCCCCCCCCGCCCCCCCCGTTAGACCCAACCCGCCCGGTAGCATTGAATCCGTGAGTGAATGAGTGAGTGATCCGCGAGTGGATTGTCAGAAGTTTTGATGCCTCTTTTGGGTTGTGGACTGGCTATGATGCCTCTCCGTGTTCTCCTCGTCGGCCCGCCCACCCTTCTCCGCCCACCCGCCCTGTCTCCCCTCTGGCTGTGCACTGGGTCGCGAACTGTGTGCGCAATTTTGACTCCGAGAGCAGTGCAGACGGGACACGAGGCGCTGTGCTTTCACCAGCCCAGGCCACCAGCCAGCATTTCGAGCAGCGTCCGGCCGTGGCGGGGGCCCCACGTCGGGCCCCGGGGGAGGACCACGAGCAGCGTCTCCACAGAGGGGGGGTAGCACAGGCCTCAGTGGTCAAGGCCGCGTGTCTCTGGAAGAGGGGACAAGCGGAAAAGGAGAGCGAGAAGGAGGGGGAGGAGGGGTGGAAGGCTCTATGGCGGGGGGGGTCCTAGAGAGGGGGGGGGGTCTACAGATGGGGGGTCTGCAGAGGGGGGGTCTACAGAGGGGGGGTCTACAGGAGGGGGGAGAGAGGGGGTATACAGAGGGGGTGCTACACAAGGGGGGGTTACAGAGGGGGGGTTACAGAGGGGGGTCAACAGAGGGGGTCTATGGATGGGGGGGTCTACAGAGGGGGAGTTTACAGAAGGGGGGTCTACAGAGGGGGGGGTTACAGAGGGGGGTTTACAGAGGGGGGGTCAACAGAGGGGGGGGGTTAAATAGAGGTGGTACAGAGGGGGGGTCTACAGAGGGGGGGGTTACAGAGGGGGGGTCGTCTACAGAAAAGGGGTCTACAGAGTGGAGGGGGTTATAGATGGGGGGGTTTATGGAGTGGGGGTTTGCAGAGGGGGGGTCTACAGAGTGGGGGGGTCTACAGAGGGGGTGCTACACAAGGGGGGGCCTACAGAGGGGGGTCTAAAGAGGGGGGGTTCTAGAGGGAAAGTCTACTGAGGAGGGGTCTACAGAGACGGGGTCTACCAGGGGGAGGTCTACAGAGGGGGTTCTGCACAGGGTAGGGGCCTGCACAGGGTAGAGGGGAAACGCGCGGCGCGCGGATGGCTGGAAAGAGGGAGAGAGAGAGAGAGGGGGAGAGGGAGAGAGAAGGAGAGACAACGAGAGATAGAGAGATAGAGAGATACAGAGAGAGAGAGAGAGAGAGAGAGAGAGAGAGAGAGAGAGAGAGAGAGAGAGAGGAGGGAGAGGAAAAGAGAAGAGAGAGAAAGCGAGAACGCGCGAGCGAGAGAGAAAGAGAGAGGGAGAGGGAAAGGGAGGAACGGGATGAGCAGGAGGCGGAGGAGGAGGCGGAAGAGGAGGAGGAGGCGGAGGAGAGGCGGAGGAGGAGGCGGATGAGGAGGGGGGGAGGCAAGAGGTAGAAGGCAGGAGGACGAGGAGGCGCGGCGGCAGAGGAGGAGGAGGAGGAGGAGGAGGAGGAGGAGGAGGAGGAGGAGGAGGAGGCAGAGGTTGGGCCCTTGGGTAGGCCCTACCATTGGCATACCCTAGGCCCTTGGGTAGGCCCTACCCCTGCCCTACCCAGGGCCCTTGGGTAGGCCCTACCCTTGCTCTACCCCAGGCCCTTGGGTAGGCCCTACCCTTGCCCTACCCTAGGCCCTTGGATAGGGCCTACCCTAGGCTACCCTAGGTCCTTGGATAGGGCCTCTACCCTAGGCCCTTGGGTAGGGCCTAGGGTAGCCTTCTGCCCGGGCGATCTGTATCCTCTTGTACCGTGTTGGGTCCTCTTGGGGCCCTCTTGGCCCGCCTTGAGGGCTTATTGGCTCCGAAAAAGTCAAACGACAAGACGCGACAAACCCCGCCAAGTTTGAGAATTTGCGGTCCAGGCCCCTTAAAGACTCCACAGGAGTGAGGACTGAGGCTTAATGGATTAGGCGACGGACCTGAGGACACGCCCATTCCGTGCCCAGCGACACGGTGGCGGATATTTGGTATTGTTTTTGGCAAGAATGATGGGCCTCAGGGGTAGAAAGAAAAGATGTCTGCGACGGTGACGGCGTCCACGATGGCGACTGTGACGGCAACGGTCTCTCCCGCGCTCGGCACCTGATCGGGCCAGCGAATCGCGTGCTGCAGGGATGGGCGGAAGGTGGGTCCGCCAACCGTTTTTTCTGCGACCACCTGCGAACCCTACTCCTACGGGTCCAATCGACGCTAAGGTAACAGATCTCCTGCTAGGTTTCGCCTGGCTGCAGACATCCTCCGAATTCTTCCTCGAGCCTGCGTCTCAGAACTCTGACCTGCAGGGGCAGGGTTCACATGTCGCATACTTTTGCCCTGCACCACGCGCCTCCGCCGGAGTCGTAAAGGCCACTCTGGCGTTTTTTTTTTCGATTGAGGTGCTCGCGCCCCTTCACGGGGCATGGTGGTCACCCTTCAGGGGAAGACCCCACCAGTCTTTGCAGACGCCTCGGCGCAGTGCTGCTTTGCACCCAGGGCAAGTGTCATGCTCAGCACGGTTTATGCCATCCGCCTGGCAGTTGGTGGCAGTTGCTCCTCTGCGCCATATACAGTGGCGGAAGGTAGCGTCGTGGGCACACCGACTCCAGTTGGGACCCACCTAACCACATGAAAAAAGGGGAAACGGTGGGACCAGGGTCTGTTTCCCTTAAAACGTCCTTCGAATGAGCGTTATACATGCTCGCGTCCCCGCAGCGTCGAACTCGAAACGCTACTCTTCACGGCATCGCTCAATGCCGAGCCGCTTGGGTAGTGCGCCGCCCTCATCGTTTTTTCTCGTTTCTTTGCCTCCACTTCCTCCTTTTCCTCCGTGCCCTCCCCTCTCATCGGCGTGCCCATCGGGGCTCTGAGTCCCTATCGGGGCTCTGAACTGATGACCATCTACCCGGGAGGGCTGCTGCGAGCTCTGATGGGGACCCCCTGGGAAAGATGAATAACGATGATGCTTCTGTTGCTGCTGCTGCTCATGATGATGGCGGTGGTGAATATGAACATGCTGCTGCTGATGCTGCTGCTGGTAATGATTACTTTGAAATTGATGATGCTTCTGTCGATGCTGATGACGATGATGCTTGTGATGGTGAGGTTGACGAATATATCGATGCTGCTGCTGGTGATGATGCTGATCGTGGTGATGCTGATGTTGATGTTGATGTTGATGTTTATGATGACGATGCTTGTGATACTGATGATGATGCTGACGATGCTGATGATGCTGATGATGCTGCTGCTGCCGATGATGAGTAAGAGTATGAATCTGAGTATGAACATGAGTATGATTATGAATATGAAGCTGCTTGTGGTGACGCTAGCGGCGACGACGATGATGATGCTGCTAATGCTGTTGCTGCTGCTGATGATGATGACTGTGATGATGGTGATTCTGATGCTGCTGCTGCTGATGAGGATGATCAACATAATGAGCATGCGGAGGAACATGATGGATATAACACTAAGAGGTTGACCATGGCGACGACGATGACGATGGCGATGATGACGATGAGGATGATGATGCTGCTGATGCAGATGCTGGTGCTACTGATGATGATGCAGGTGCTTATGATGTTGATGATGATGGTAAGGCTATTGCGACTGCTGCTTCTGATGATGAGGATGATGCTCATGCTGATGATGCTGCTGATGATGAATCTGATCATGATGATGATGCTGATGCTGATGATTGTGATGATTATAACGATGACGATGCTGCTGCTGATGCTGCTGATGATGATGCTGATGTTGAGGATGATGATGATGATGATGATGATGATGATGATGATGATGATGATGATGATGATGATGCGGATGGTGATTATACTGCTGCTGATGACTATGATGATGGCCATGCTGATGATGATGACGACGATGATGATTATGAATCTGATGATGCTGCTGATGATGCTGATGCTGCTGCTGCTGATGATTGTGTTGATGATGATGATGATGATGATGATGATGTTGATGCTGCTGGTGATGATGCTGATGATGATGCTGATGTTGATACTGGTAATGATGATGCTGCTGATCATGATTATGATTATGGTGTTGCTGGTGGTGATGCTGGTGTTGATGGTGAAGATGTTTTGGAGGAGGAGGAGGAGGAGGAACACATATCATCTCCTGTCTATTCTTGAGGCGCCGCGTGTTTCCACCAGCCCTCGGTCATACCGCCCTCTGGACTTCTCCTTGCGGGCCGCGAATCAAAAAAAGTGTTCCCACCAGCCCATGTAGAAACGATCGGTGCCCAGGCGAACTGTCATGACCAGGGAGCTGTAGGATCACGCAGCCGAGCAACAGAAGGCAGTCGTCAGATGGAGGCTCGCGATCAGGTTGAGCAGGCCCACGAGTGAATTATACATGACTGTCTGTTCGAAGGAGGGTCAGGGACTTGAGGAGAGAGACGATGAGGAGGGAAGATATGGGGGCCAAGAGAACTCCAAGACTGCCCCAAGAGCGCCTAGATGCGTTCCTTGGGCCTTCTTTGGGCCGCCTTGAGGCATCAACCGCCTACCAAACGCGTACAGGCGAGACTGCAAACGACATCGGCTCTCTTTATGCTTTGGAAGACTTTTGGCTCCTCGGGGACATCCTTGGGAGGCGGCTCCGTGGCCACTTGGAGCCGTCTTGGAGCAGCCTTCGGGGCCTCTAGGAACACCTGGGATACAAATCTCGATCCATCTTCGGATATCTTGACCCATCCTGGCTGCCATCTTGGGCTCTCTGAGGCCTTCTTGAGACCATCTTGGGCCATCTTGGGCGCTCGAACTACCAGTCGCCCCCCCCCCCCGTCCAGACCCAGGGGAGGGGGTCTGGTATTACAGGGTCGGCTCGCAGGGCATTGCAGACTATTGCAGGGTATTGCAGGGATCTGGTTTGCAGGGTACTGCAGGGAATTGCAGGGTATTGCAGGGTGTGCAGGGTATTGCAGGGCATTGCAGGGTCGTTTACAGGGTATTGCAGGGTTATGCAGGATTGTGGGATCGGCTTTGCAGGGGGGGCTGCAGGGTATCGCAGGGTGTGCAGCGAAGCCCAGGGGGGAGGGTATGGAGAAGGTTTATGCTAGGAAGCTGGGAGACGAACCGCTCTAGACCATCTCCGCCTGGAGGGCTGGAGGAATTCATTTCTCCCCGCCCTGATCTCGCCCTCCCCCGTCCTTCCTCAGTCCCCTCTGCTTCATCTTTCACGGCCCCTCAGCCCCTCCCTCTCCTTGCCCCCCTCCCTTGCCCCCCTTATTATCGCCCCCTCGCCCTGCCCTCATAATCCCACCACCCCCTCCAGGGAACGGTATGATGATGACGATGCTGCTGCTGATGATGATGATGATGCTGATGCTGATGACGATGCTGATGATGATGATGCTGATGATGATGACGATGCTGATGCTGCTGCTGATGATGATGCTGATGCTGATACTGTTGATGATGACGATGATGCTGATGATGATGACGATGATGACGATGCTGATTATGATGATGTTGATCATGATCATGATGTTGATGATGATGGTGGCGGTGGTGATGATACTCGTGGCGATGATACTGCTGCTGATCAGGTTGATGATGACGCTGTTGATGACGCTGAACATGATGCTGAACATGATCATGATGGTGCTGATGACTCTGACGACGATGATGACGATGATGATGATGCTGCTGATGATGCTGATGCTGATGATGCTGATGATGATGATCATGCTGATGATGCTGATTCTGATGATGGTGATGATGAGGACACTGATCGCGATGGTGATGAGGCTGCCGCTGATGCTGATGATGATGGTGATGCTGCTGCTGATGATGCTAGTGATGATGACGATGATGATGCTGCTGCTGATGGTGATGTTGACGATGATGAAGAACATGCTGATGATGATGATGGTGGTGGTGATGATGATGATGCTTATGATGATGATGATGATGGTGATGCTGCTGCTGACGACGACGACGACGATGATGATGATGATGATGATGATGATTATGATGACGATGGTGATAAGGATGATGATGATGATGATGATGCTGATGATGATGACGATGACGATGACGATGACGATGACGATGATGATGATGATGATGATGATGATGATGATGATGATGATGATGATGATGATGATGATGATGATGATGATGATGATGACGATGCTGCTGATTATGATGATGGTGATGCTGCTGATGGTGGTGCTGCTGGTGGAGGAGGAGGATGGGGACGAGGAGGAAGAGGAGGAGGAGGAGGAGGAGGGGGAGGAGGAGGAGGAGGAGGAGGAGGAGGAGGAGAAGGGATATGATACTCAAGGAAGGAGAAGAATCGGGGAGCCGAGGACGGGAGGACGAGGAGAGTAAGACGATGGGGGAGGCGGCGCGCGAGGAGAACGAACAGGAGGGGGAGATGCAGGAGGATGGGATTGAGGAGGACAGAAGGGGGGATGAGGAGGAGGACAAGGAGGGCGAGGGCATAGAGAGGAACACGAGGACGACGGCGGGGGGAGGGAGTGTCAGAGGAAATCTCAAGGGTATAAATGGTTGACCACGCCCGTGTTGACCTTTTGGGCCTACTGCGCACTTGGTCGCCCCCCCCAACTACCCAGTTGCTTGCGTCAAGGTCCACCGCCGTGTCGGCGCAGCATTCGCTCGTGGGGCCTACCTGGGCTGCCCTGTGAACACGTGGGGCCGTATTGGCGTCCTTCTGGGGCCTTCAGAGGTTGTCGCGGCACTCTTTTGGGTCGTGTTTGGAACAACCTGATGGGATGGCGCGTGGTTGCTGTGTTACTGGGGGGAACCAAGGCAATCGCCGAGGCGTCGCCCTTTTCCCCGTTTCCTCCCCATGCTAAGCTCATGGATTGCATTGCTCTGCTCTTTCTCGTCCTCTTCCCCCTCCTCAGTCGCCATTTTGGCAGACGGCGTTTTGGCTCCCGTCATGTGGCTCGCGCGCTAATCGAGAGGCCCTTGAGGGCTACTGGGGGCCAGTGGAGGCCATTGGAGGCTAATGGAGGTGCCACTGCGGCCATTCAGGTGACTACGAAAGGCGCCCAGGAACGTCTTCTGAACAAACGAGGGCCGCGCGAGCGCGCGCCGTGCCACGTCCGGCCGCCCGCGACGGCGTGAATTTGACGGTTATGTTTTCAAGACGCAAGAAAGACTTTGATCGCGGATACTCTCATCATATTTGAAGGACCACGCGGGGCGGTCGGGGGGGAGGGACGGCGAAGAGAGCTGATGGGGTAGCGAAAGAGAGGATGTCAGGGGAAGGGGAAGGGGGTGGGGGATGGCACGGGGGTGGAGGGGATGGGAGGGGGGAGAGGGGGGGAGGGAAGTGGAAGGGGGGAGGTGAGTGGAAGGGGGGGGGGGAACAGGATGCGAGGGGTTGCGAGTGGAGGCAGAGAGACAGGCGATGGGGGAGAGGAGAGGCCCGGGGAAGGGACGGAAGGGGAGCGGGGGAAGGGAGGGGAAGGAAAAGAGGGAGGCGAGGGGAGTCGGGGGCGTCCAAGAGGGGGGTGATGACTCGCCGGGGTTGGATCTCATGGGCAGGCTCGGAAATCTCCCCGGATTCCTTGCCTTTCTCGTGCTCTTTCACGGCGTCTCCTGGCCCCCCCTCGTCCTCGCACGTGCCTCGGGCAGTGATCTGCGAGCTCCCTTCCGGACGCCCCTCTTG